TTCAGCTCAAGGTGAGCACTCTACCACTTGAGCCACATCGCCACTTCTTTATTTTATTATTGAGAGGAGCATGGTCCTTTTTTAGACTGGCCTTGGCCTACTGAATTTACATGTGCCTCTGGGATTGCAGATGTGTGCTACTGCCCTACCTGCATGGCATCAATATATCATCCCCTCTTTGTATGTGTAAGTTGACATCCTTACAAAACGTATCTCTAGAGAAGTGGTTGGTTTAGTAATGGTACCTTCACCAAATGTAATGGAATTTTGTAGATGTATAAAATGTGCTTCCTATTTAGAAGCAACATGGCGTCAGATGCATGACTGTTGAAACAGTCAATATGTCTTCTGATTGTATTCAGAGAAGCCCTAAAACTACAACAGGCAGGTACACATTTTCAAATAGATTTTGTTGTTGTTTATCTGCTCACGTGTTTGATTCCAGTAAGAATTCTTCATTCCTCACTGCAAGAAGACAAATGTGATAAGTGTACTTCCATACGATTGGATGGGCTTTATCAAGAAGTCTCCATTTTGGTTCAGCTGCTGACATTGGGAATTTAGTAATGTGCAGAGTCCAGAGCCTTCTTAAGAGAAAACCTGCATTTTTCAGCTGGTGGATGATTTTCACCTTTCCTTCTTGGCTGCTTTGTACATGATGGGAGTGAAGGAAGCTGACAATTGACTCACTAGACAGGTCATCTTGTCATTCAGATTATTAGGTCTACAAAGTGAGTATCCTCAAGTGGACATTTATAGAGAAAATAAATGTCTTCATACTTGCTCATTTCAAGAATTTCATTCATAAATCATTCCCTCAGAATCACAACCTTGTGACATGAAATGCTTGATCATCTCCCTGATCTCAGTTGTCTGGCCAGATACTCCATGTAATTTATGGACTGCTTCCCTGATGTACTCCCAGAGGAGGAATTCAGGGGCTTCCACTTGGCCCTTCACTGAAAGAGTTTTTACTCCATACCTCAAAAAGATCAAAATCAACATGGATTCTTCCAGTCATTAAATGTATCTCCACTGACTTGAAATTTTGTGTATGGGAAAAGAACCACAAATGCGTCTACAGTCATATTCTTTTAGAGTCCCCAGACTGACATTCAATAATATTTTCTGAGACTTCTGGGTAAGACATATTTTGCTCAGACTTAAGGTAATTGATACTTTTAAAATTATTAATATTACTTAAACTGCATGAATCCTTCGATTCTGATTTCCCTAAATTCAGTGCAATGGGCATGCAGTTTCTTAAAATAGTCCATAAAAATGGTTTCACATTCATATTCTTCCTTCCAGGATCACGAGGAAAGGGTGAATCATGGGTGTTGCTTTTGGCAGACAGCTGAACTTGCACCGAAATTACTTAATGGCATTTTCTGAATGTTTATACTACTTCCCCAATTGTCCAAGCAGTGTGTGACCTGTAGGCTTTGGTATATGCTTATTCGCTCTTAGAGTTGATTTTTTTGTTAATTCAGTAAATGCATTAAGCTAGGCACCAGTTGCTCACTCCTGCAATTCTAGTTACTCAGGAGGCTAAGATCTAAGGATCATGGATTGAAGCCAGCCAGGGCAGGAAAGTTCATAAGACTCCAATTAATCACCAAGAAACTGGAAGTGAAGGTGTGGCTCAAGTGGTAGAGTGCTAACTTTGAATGTGAATGCTCAGGGACAGTGCCCAGGCCCTGAGTTCAAGCCCAGGCCTGTCACATACACCCATACCCATACCCACTCCCACACCGAAACAGCATATTGCTGCATTAAAATTTGTGCTTAAATCACATGTAATTATTGCTTTGAATTTAGAACATAAACGCAATTATATCTGTGTAATTTTAGACATACTAGTATGTCTTAATAAATAAAATACTAAATCTTCCTTAGATTTCATCATGCCTCTACCATAGTGAGCCTGAGGACATTCAACTCAATTCTTCCAAAGAACATCTCTATTTGTTTGTGAACCTGAATTTGAACCTGAGGCAAAATCTTAAAATAGCCTTCACTTTCAACATATATGTCTGAAATCAAGAAAAATATAGTTGGGATCTATCCTACAGCTGTAACGGATGGCAGGTTGACCACGATCATCTCAAAAATGCCTGTATTGAAGTTTCTTTTCATGTAACACTTGAAAATTTATAGACCCTTGATCCTGTGTATACTGAACAAAAAAAAATACATTTACCAAGTTTTGAATCCATCGTTTGTTGGACTATGGGCTCTGATGGCTCAATTTCTATAAATATCTTTCTATGCCTCAGATTCTTGATCCTGAAAATAACTTGGCAAATCTAGTGCTAACTGTTAGAAAACAATGAAGTTCTAACCTTAGAGAGTCATTCCTCTATCCTTTCAGTTCATCCTTGGTGTGTTCTGAACATTTTCTACCCAATCCTCTGCTAAATGTTTTATATACAGAAATACTGAATAGATAACATTAAATGGTAATACATTATCTTGCAATCATATGAACAGGATTGTAAATAAAATTGTACCATAGTTTAGAGTTATAAAGAAAGAGAATGAGAAGTTGTTTCTTGTAATGAACAATGAAATTGTCCAAAGTATGTGGAAGTAATTGAGTAGGGAAGTGGTAAATGTTGTGAAAGTACATGCAGAGAGACACATTAGAAAAGAGGGCACCATTAGCTAAAAAGTACTCCTCAGGACCAAGTTTAGTTGTCTTAACTTACAATTCTTCCAACTTTTCAGATCATTTAGTGTTGACATACGTATCCAAATTTAACAATATAATAGAGATTCTGAATCTCCAGATTTGGTAGACCTCCCGTAGTCTAAATCGAATGAGTTTCAAATGTTAGTTTCCTGTTATCCTTCAGCAAGAATTTTGTGATAAATTTAAACCAGTGTGGTTAAAAAATAACCCAGGCTAGGAAGGTGGCTCAGTGGTAGAGTGCTTGCCTTGCATGCATGAGGCCCTGGGTTCGATTCCTCAGCACCACATAAGCAGAAAAAAAAAAACCTGGAAGTGGCACTATGGCTCAAGTGGTAGCGCTCTAGATTTGAGCTGAAGAGCTGAGGGACAGTGCCCAGGCCCAGAGTTCAAGCCCCATGACTGACTCCCCCCGGCAAAAAAGCCAAAACAGGATCCCTTAAATTAGTCCCGCCTGGATAAAGTTTTGATACTAATCTTTGTTCACAGCTCTCTGGGTAAAAAGTTGTGTCACTTACTTTAAGTTCTCTATTGCTATCACATTTTTATGTTTATTATTATTGTTAAAGTTTTTTAGTGTTAGGGATTGAACTCAGGATTATCTGCACACCCCCCCCCCCCCGCCCCCATTATCAGTTACTTGGAAAGTGGCTGGGTGATAATGGTACTTTGTGCCTCAAAAAGGCAGTATGGATTGCTATTAGGTTCTTCTTGTGAGAGGTGTACTGGTTTTGCCTATCATTCCTTAGGGACTGGACTTTCCAATATAGAGCACAAAGAAATTCCTATGGTACAGAAACGAAACACCTGCTTCTAGAAACATTATTTGTAAAAGTCATCTTGCTACTACAATGTGGAGTTTCTTTAATGTTTGTCATATTTTTACGTTGAATGTAGTTAAATAAGTGAGAAAATGTAAACAACTTCAACATGGTGGCTGAAGGTAAAGGGCTTTCCTTTTCTCTAGCCCATGCCTGAGGTCTCTTTTGCCCTCCTGAGGAAATGCATAAATTATTAAATATATAAAAATAGATTATGAAGCTGGGCACCCAGTGGCTCACACCTGTCATCCTGGCTCCCCACGGGGCTGAGATCTGAGGCTTGTAGTTGAAGCCAGTCTGGGCATCAAAATCTGTGAGTATCTTATCTATAATTAAGTAGTAAAATGTCAGAAGTGGAGCTGTGGCTTACGTGGTACAGTACTAGGTTTGAGCAAAAAAGCTACAAGACTGTGCCAGGTTCTGAGTTCAAGGTAGAAAGGAAGAAAGAAAGAAAAAACAAAAGAAAGAAAGAAAGAAAGAAAGAAAGAAAGAAAGAAAGAAAGAAAGAAAGAAAGAAAGAAAGAAGGAAGGAAGGAAGGAAGGAAGGAAGGAAGGAAGGAAGGAAGGAAGGAAGGAAGGAAGGAAGACAGACAGACAGACAGACAGAAAGACAGACAGACAGACAGACAGACAGACAGAAAGAAAGAAAGAAAGAAAGAAAGAAAGAAAGAAAGAAAGAAAGAAAGAAAGAAAAAGAAAGAAAGAAAGGAAAGAAAGAGAGAGAGAAAGAAAGGGGCTGGGAAGGTGGCTCATTGGTAGAGTGCTTGCCTTGCATGCATGAGGTTTTGGGTTCGATACCTCAGCACCACATAAGCAGAAAAAAAAGCCAGAAGTGGTGCTGTGGCTCGTGTTGGAGCTCTAGCCTTGAGCTGAAGAGCTGAGGAACAGTGCCCAGGCCCAGAGTTCAGGCCCATGACTGGACCCCCCAAAAAAAATAGAAAGAGAAAGAGAGAGAGAGAGAGAGAGAGAGAGAGAGAGAGAGAGAGAGAGAGAGAGAGACAGAGAGACAGAGACAGAGACAGAGAGAGAGAGAGAGAGAGGAAAGAAAGGAAGGAAGAGAGAGAAAGAAAAAAGAAAGAAGAAAGAAAGGAAGGAAACAAAAATAGTTAATGCTAACATTATTGCAGAGAGGTTGAAGTGAGAATTATTTGAGAATTATTAGATTATTATCAGTTATGAGGCATCAGATTCTTTCCTTGGATACTTGGTGTTATAGGTGTGTGGGAGCGGGGCGGAGTTGGAAGAAAAGAAAACCAAATATGGAGTCCTCTCAACACTATACAAAGTAAATGAAGCAATAATGGGAAATGGAGAATTGTAAAAGGCAAGCATAACTTATTAAAAGGAAAAGATAGATTAAACTATTCATTATGTGCCCTGTTCTTTTTACTTCTTTTTTCTCTCTCATTCAATAGCTAATGTGGAAAGAGGAATAAGTTATCAGACAAATATAGATTTTGCAAACATGTGCATTGAGAAGAGTGCTCCTGGAACCCATTGCTAAGGAAGATTTTTTCAACATGCAAGTGTGTCATTTCCTTTCTTCATGGATTAGATGCTGAAATACTATGAGACAGAAATTTTCAGCTTCCACTCTGAAGAGAGGGAACTGGACAAATCAGTGCTGCCTTCCTCACAGCTAACGGTAAACTAAGAAAAGTTTGTTTTAATTGTTTTCTATAGTTGCTTCTGTTGACTGTTTGTGACTCTGTATGAGTCTCTGTGAGACAGAGAAGTGTTAAATATATACATTCTAGTAGAATATTTTATTACATCACTAATAATTTTCTAATTTCAGTTCTGCTGTTTCCATGAGCGGCAGAATGCTAGTGTGTGTGTATAAATATGCATGAAATATGGTAGCTTGGAGTTTGAACTCTCAAGCAGTTTTTTTTTCCATTTGATTATGCATGCTTTGTTTAAAATATTGATTTTTTTCAGTCTTATTTAACACATTTTAGTTAGACTCCTTTCCTTTGTTTTTATGTGACATTTTTGGCCTTCACATAATAGCTCTTATTACTTGCACAAATTATGAATATTGACTAGGTGTCTGAAATATGTATATCATTGAACTAGATAAGAAGAAAGAATACAAAGAATCCAATACAGTCTTCTGGAATCAATATTGATTCTCCCACTGTCTGATAGGTAACACTGACTAGTTTCTTAATCTTTTTTAGGTCTTAGTTTCTGAGCTGTAAAATCAAGAAACTACTGCTACGTAGCTTACATAGCTATTATTAGGATAAAATATGAAAAGCCCATATTAGAAAATGAAATTTAAAAATAGTAGTAATTCACTTCCAGGCAATTTACAAAAATTATTTTGTCAAACTAATTCTTTAAATTGATATGCTACATAGAAAACTGTAATTCAGAGAAGTTAAAATATTTGTCTAAGATCACATAGCTAAATAATGGAATCTGGGTTAAAATTTCTATTCTCACAAATCGGTCCTATTTTTTAAAGTGGTAAGAGAATAGAGACCAAAATATTTAAAACATTTTTTGCTTTGCATTTCAAAATGTAAATTATCCTAAATGTATATTTTTCTATAATAAGGCTGAATTATCAACAGATTTATGGCATCTTAATTTGTACATCTTAATCTGACACCCATAATGTGTGCAAAGATTCAGATTTCATTTGAAAATGAAAACATTTCTCTTGCATTAGAATGGCATAGTGTCAAAAATTGAATATTATCTCATCTTAATATTCTGATAATGTTTTTATCATAAAAACAAGAAAATAAAGCATGTGGTTCCAAACATACTAATGTGAAAATTATTTTATTATTGTTATCCTGTTGTTGCTTATATGAACTTTCAACTATGTCATAAAAAGCTGATATTGCAAAGATATGTTTCACTTCTCACAGAACATATTTTTAATAGACTATTTACAGAAAAGATTTCACAATTCTTTAACAGGGCATTGACATTTTGTGGGAAAAGTACCCTTACATGAAGTTAGCTTTTTCTCCTGATTTTGAAGCTGTATTTAAAATTACATTTGACTCTCCTGAATTGCTTCCTGGCTGCTAACAAGTCTCAGGAGTGTACATACTATATTTTTATGCTACAACTGATAATTAGTGAACAAAATAGAAATGGAATAATCTGGCAATACTAACAATAAATGCCTTTGAAGCAAAGTGGAGACATTGATGGTGACAGCTTTTCGTTTCAGTTTACTAGTTACACACCATTCAGGGAAAACATGTTATCTTCTAATTAGTAACAAGACTTAAAATTTTTTTCATGGTAGTTAAATGAATTTTTCCAGGCAGGTACTTTACAACCTGAGACATAACTCCAGCCTGATTTTTTAAATTTTATTTTATTGTAAAGATGATGTACAGAGGGGTCATAGTTATATCAGTAAGGTAATGAGAACATACTTGTGGAGCATTGTTACCCCCTCCTTTGTTTTTCTCCTACTGTCCCGTCCCTTGAGCCACAGTGACACTTCCAGTTTTCTGGTGGTTTATTGGAGATAAATAAGAGTCTCAGGGACTTTCCTGCCTAGGCTGGCTTTGAACAGCAATCCTTAGTTCTCAGCCTTCTGAGTAGCTAGGATTACAGGTGTGAACCACTGGCACCTGGCTTTGTTAGTTATTTTTGAGATGGAAGTTTTTTTCTGCCAAGGCTAGCTTCAAACCATGGATTTCAGCCTCCTGGGTTCCTTGATATTTGTGAGCCACTGGTACCTGACCATAATTTTCTTTTAAATATTAAGTTGAAGTTTTTTTGTGTGTGTGATACTGAGGATGGAACTCAGTTTCTTACACAATCTAGGCAAATGTTCTACCACTGAGCTGCATTCCCATATATCTTAGATATAAATATATAAAATATTTGATATTTTATTTTACTTTATGTTATTTTTTGGGGGGGGAGCCAGTCGTGGGGCCTGAACTCTGGGCCTGGGCACTGTCCCTCAGCTCTTCAGCTCAAGGCTAGCGCTCTACCACGTGAGCCACTGCGCCACTTCTGGGTTTTTTTTTCTGCTTATGTGGTGCTGAGGAATCGAACCCAGGGCCTCATGCATGCAAGGCAAGCGCTCTACCACTGAGCCACCTTCCCAGCCCTGATATTTTATATAATGCATGATATATGTAACATTTTTGAAATGTCAAGAACTCTCTTGTCACTGAAATCAAGAGACAAAAAGCTCATTTCATGGACCTAAGTTGAATGAATAAAACAGACAACAGACAAGACAAAAATTATCTGTGCAGTGCTAGGTGATGATAAATTTTGAGAAGAAATTAAGCCAGGAAAGGAAAGGAGAATATACTGTTACTTATTTTAGGGTTCTGATCATGTTTTCTCACTCATAGCTCAAGCATACCATGAAAACTCTGATCTTGAGGTTCATTAGTACCTCTGTGTTTCAGAGGGGTCTTACTGAATGCTCTGGTTGTAGGATTGCTGTAGACAGCACACAAACAGAAAGAACAGACAGGATTCTCCACTCACTTTCCTAGATATCGTCTATGCAGTGCAGCCATCATAAAAACCAAGGGCAGAGCTTGTGGCCATATGCGTAGAAGGAGGTTCTTCAAAGGTGACAGGCCTGCCTCCCCCTCCATGCTTCACCTTATGTATCTCTTCATGCAGCTGCTCATTTGAAATTCTTTGTAATGTCCATTACAGTAAACTGTTAGATGTGTTTTCTGAGTTCTATGAACCTTTCAAACAAATTAACCAAATCTATACATGTTTCAGGGGAGCCCAACTTAAAGATATTGGAGCAGTCAGAAGTAGAGGTACAATTGGCTTGGGCATGGCATCTAATGTCAGAATGGCCAATCTCAGGAACTGAGCATTCAATCTATTGCATGTGATATTGGCAGATACTGTGAGAAATGAAGTGGCTTACAAAACAGCCAGCTGGTATCCCTTTGTGGCAGACTTGCTAGCTTGCTGGTACAAGAAACCTCTCCGCCATTTGAGATTGTTTGAGGTCCTAGAAGTGATCTGTGTTGTGAATGTGTGATAGGAGAAGCTGAGTCTGAGTTAGAGATGGTGTTTCCCTTTTGGTCTTCAAGGAAGCAAAATGAATAGATTTTAATTTTAAATATGAGGCTCAATAAACATGATGACTATTGAGAAGATTGTGGTTAGACCCTATGTGAGATGGAAATTCACTCAAGGGATGTGAGCAGGAGGACATCATCTGACCATTGGAGAGGGTCACTCGAGAGACTCTATGGGGATTGGATGTGGGGGATGAACAAATGAGGGACAAAGAAGATCAGTATGTTTGGGAGTCATTAGAAATCTAAGTAGACACTAAATGTTACTTTCTTGCACTTGCAAGTCTCTCTCTCTCTCTCTCTCTCTACCTCTATCAATCTATCTATCTCCTTTCTTTATCTTCTTCCTTTCATTTATTCATTGTTTTCTTTCCTTACTCTCAAAGAAACACATCGACATACACAGATACACATTTGTGTAGAGAAAGACCCATGAATAGGTTTCTTATACATCTGTCCTTTCATATTAACATGTAATGTATAATTAAGGTTAATATATTACTATATATGACGTATGTATAAATTTAATTCATTATGATCATTTCTTTGCTAAAGTTGAATTTCAATTATGTATTTCTATTTGAACCACTATATAAACAGACTGCAGCCATTTCATGTGGAATTCATATTTTTCCATGTGCTTGGCAGAAGCATGGAACATCAGAATCTATTTCATGACCAACTGGAGGACACTGACAGCTGTTCAGAATCTGTGAAATTTGATGCTCGCTCAATGAGAGCTTTGCTCTCTCCCAGTAAGTGTGTGTGTGTGTGTGTGTGTGTGTGTGTGTGTGTGTGAGTGTGTGTGTGTGTGTGTGTGTGTGTGTGTGTGTGTGTGTGGTGTTAGTGGGGGAGGAAAAGAGTGCCTATGGATGGGAGGTTAGTTACTTTAAAAGATTGTGACTTTTTTCTCTCACAGTTCTGAAAGATTCAAAGTCTGAAATCAAGGTGTTCAGAATGCCACACACTCATTTATGGGTATAGGAACAAATCCCTACATGTTCCTTTGGAGCTTCGAATGGCATGTGGCCATTCTTGGTCTACCTTGGTTTGTACCTACAAAACACTTAACTCATCCTCCTTCTACACATCTGGTGATCCAAGTCACCAGATTAGTGCCTATCCATATGACCTCATTTTAACTTACAGGTAGATCCTAAATAGAATCTTTCTAATGAAGGATATTTTCATAATGGCTTTTTTCTTTTTTTCTTTTTAATAAGTTTTTTTATTGTAAGAATATTGTACAGAGGAGGGGTTACAGTCACATGAGCAGGGTAATTTCTTATCAAGCATTGTTGTCTCCTCCTTTGTTTTTCTCCTTCCCTCCCATCTCCACAACTAACTCCTCCCTCCTGCCTAAATTATGAAGTTTCTTTTTCAACATAGCATCTTGTACATCCCATTATTGAATTTGAGGTACAACCTTCAAAGATCTTCTTTCCCACAAAGGCCAGCTACATATCTATCTGGGATTAGGCCTTCAATATATCTTTTTGGGAGATGCAATTCAACCCACAGCAGATGAAATGGATGATTGTATAGGTTATGACAGAAATTCAAAAGAAGCAATAACCAGACATGTCTGCATAAGATGGATTAAGGTATCAGGACAGAACTGCTTGTAATTCAACTAAACTTTGAAAGGCAATACCTATGTCCAACAGGTGTCAGAGAGATATGTCAGTTACAATGAGCAGCATACACAAAACTAAATGGTTAAAGTCAAAGAGCACGAATTCTTATTCTTGGGGTCTAGAGTCTAGACCCCAACCCTAGGACATAGTGGATATGTGAGTCTTGTAATGGAGGGGAGGGTGTGATGCATTGAGGTACACATTTAAAAAAGTAATGACAAGAGCTAATAAACAAAGGTAGTGAGTTACTGGGAGAGAGGACATTGGAAGCAGGGGGGAAACTTTGAAAAATTGTGCGTTATCTAAGAGGTAGAGTACACAGAGAACCAGATGTGGTGGCACATTCCTATAATCCCAGCTACTTGGGAAACAGATATCAAGAAGGTGGTTAGTCAAGCCCAGTAAGTTAGTGAGACCCTCCATCTAAAAAAACAAGCTAGGCATAATAGGAAACAGTGTATTTTAAATCTCAGCTATGTGACAAGCATAAATAGCAGGATTACAGTTCTAGACTGGCCTGGCCAGACAGTATCTAAAAAGTAAGATAAAAGCTGGGTGCTGGTGCCTCACACCTGTAATCCTAGCTACTCAGGAGGCTGAGATCTGAGGATCATGGTTCAAAACCAGACAGGGCAAGAGAGTCCATGAGACTCTTATATCCAATTAACCACCAGAAAACCAGAAGTGGTGCTGTGGCCCAAGTGGTAGAGTGCTCACCTTGAGCTGAAGAGCTGAGGAACAGCACCCAGTCCCAGAGTTCAAGCCCCAGGACTGACAAAAAAATAAAAAATAAAAGTAACATAAGGCAAAAGGGGATGGAGGAGTTCACTAAGAGTACAGTGTACCTAGCAATCACAAAGCCCTAAGTTTGAACAAGCTCCTGCTAAGATAGATACATTAATCACAAAGCCCTAACTTTAAAAAAGCTATTGCTAAGATAGATACATTAATCGAGGTAAAACAACAGAGCTTATAATAATAAATTATGATTGTAACAAGTTTTAGGCTTAATCAATCTGTGAGATATATTATTTGTATTACAGGTTGCTTTTTCTATTTTCTTCCATCTTTTCTCTTTTGATTTATGCTACTTTTAAAAATGTTTTTCTGTTTTCATTTCAGTTTCTCTTAAAACATTCTTGAACAGTATTTCAAATTTTGTATTTAATTTAGAAGTTCTTTGAACAGAAAGCAAAATGATTACTTTTTATTGAACAATGAAAGAAACGTCCATGGAGAAGAAAGTTGTAATGTATATTTTATTAACCTAATCAGAGAAAAGTCTGATACTTCACTATCACTATATTTCTACCACAACTCACATCTTATTATATTAAACACAGTTCCATGAAATACATAAGACTAGAGCTTATAGTTGTTAATATGCTCAAGAATAACGTTATGGTAGGCTTCCTTTATTCCACAGTTAAATCAAAGTGTAAATCATTTCATTTGATTGATTTTTAAAATAACTTTGTCATTTTCAAATTGTAAGAGATAGCCAAATATGAAACAAGATGGAATTGGTAAACAGTACTACTTTTGCATAGTAAACTCCTTGAAAATAAATATTTCTCTGGTCTGGTTTGAAAATATGAAAAAAATCATTATTGTATAGTTCTTTGAGAATTTTATTTGCAGACAATATATTTCCAAGTAAATAATTATAATTACATATGCATTAATATTTAAACTTACTAATTCCCTTAAATCAAATGTTCATAGAGTCACATAATAAAAGTAAGTTTACAAACAATTGTTGGGATTTTGTTTTACTTTTTAGAACTTAAAAATGGCCCTACTCTTCAGGAGAAGCTGAAGTGCTTCAAAGCCGCACTAATTACCCTCTATCTCCTTGTGTTTGGGATCCTCATACCTATCATGGGAATAATGGCAGGTATGTTGAAACTTAGCAATCAGGTAAACTAAGTATTGTGAGATCAAAACAGGGGAATTCATGTTGTTTTTTTGCTGGGGGAGCAGGATTTTGTGGGTGCTTATAGTGAGGCTTTAAACCAGAGCCTCATGCTGTTGCTCAACATTTCATGCTATAGAGAGTGCTTTTCCACTTGAGCCACACCTCCACTCTGTTTTATTGTTAGTTAATTGAGGGTAGAGACTCAAGGATTTGTCATCCTGGGTTAGCTTCAAACTTCAGTTTTCAAATAAGCCATCTGAGTAGCTATTATGAGCTACTGACATCCTGACAACATTCGTCTATGCTGTAGAAGAATGACCTGTCCCTCATTAATATTCTTCCAGCTTACTTGTCCAAATATCTCATTTACCATTACTTAAAAGTATCAAAAAGTAACATGATGGAATCTTCTCAAAGGAAAGAAATCGAATATGCTAGTTCTGTTCATTGTGATGTTCTCCAGACATATATTTCTCTGGGGATAGATATGAAGGTTTCCATAGTGGTTTATGGCTTACATATACCTGAAGTATATATGTAAATGTTATTCTATGGAGTAATTTTCAGGGATTTGACGGATCCTAATAGACATTTCAATTTATGTACCTTGTCATTCTCTTCTCTGTAGATGATAAATTGTCTGGCAATATATTTCATCAACAAACAAGGATGGAATAAGATATACTTTTCTGTGTATACTAATCTACCTAATAAGAAAATACCAAACACAAGGCCAAATGTCCTTTCTTAAGAGATGATCTAAGGTAGTATTCCAAAACAGGTTCAAAATTCCACTAGAGGAAAGGACAATGAGAAGAACCATTGTCATTTATAGCTATCATTGTTCGAGCATTTTCTATTTTTAAGCATAAGGCTATAAACTTTAAACATATTATCTTAATTCACCTTTGCAATTATCCTCTGAACAGACAGTATCATTATCCTCATTATCCATGCAGGAAAATAGAGACTCTTCAGTAATGGAGTCACAGCTATGACATCTACACCTCCATGGCCCACTGTCTTCCATTGTAATTGAGATTTTATAATGAAACATGATTGGCCAGTAAAAACAAAACAACCACCTAGATGGAAGTGTTATAGTTGTGTCCAATGGAGGATTTTCTCTGGGGAAATGTGTATTCCTTTCTAAGACATTAAAAACAAACAAAAGCAAAATCCTACCCTAACAATTAAAGCAAAAAGCAACTATAGCCTTCTAAAGAAAAGAGGTTCCAATATATCTATCTAGCAGTAGTGAATGACCTTCCAGATGCATCAGGGGCATCTATGTACTAAATAGCCAAATGTGCTTATCTGTAGTCTGAAATACCTATTTGGTTGAAAACATTAGCTATACACCATTATGAGTTAGCCAAGTTATACAATACATCATTAGAAAGATGGAAGTTATTATTTTGGAGCACACGAATTAATAGATGAAGTAAAATATTGTACCACAAGAGGGAATTAAATTTAGGGTATCTAATATTTTGAAAGATGTTTCCTGAATTCTACAGTTGACTTCATAGAGTACCTCTTCTTTACAAAGCTGGCAGAGCTGAGCAGCAGAATGCTGTCCCAGGACAATAGATACAATCTAGAGCGGATGTGTATAAATCGCTACTGACACACTAAAAATTCTTTACTCAAAACAACATAAATTTAAGAATGGAAGAGCTATCACCAACATAAAAGAATAAACATGATCTGTAGAATCAAATATAAGCTTCTCCCTAGGTCTTTGCATATGTAATAAAGTATCTTCTCTCACATACGAAATAGAAAAGTCACAAACTGCCATCTCACCAATAAAAAGGAAAGAAACGAACTCTGCATTCTCTACCTGAGTATCTGATAAAGAGTTAAACCCTACTTTTCTTTTTTTTTCCCCTTTGTGCTGGGGATTGAGCACAGAGCTTCATGTAGGCATGCTAGGCAAGTGCTATACCACTGAGCCACATCCACAGCCCAAGTTAACGTTATGGGAATTTGAGGGTCTTTCTATGTAACCCAGGCTGGCTGTGACCTCCATACCCAAATCACCTGTGTCACCTTTTCAACACTGGGATTACAGGTGTTAAACACCACACCTGACTAGTGTTAATCTGTGTGTGTGTGTGTGTGTGTGTGTGTGTGTGTGCGCGCGCACACACACACACATGCACTAGTTCTGGGGCTTGAACTCAAGGCCTGGGCACTGTCACTTGTACTCAGACTAATATGTGAATATTAAAATTGATTAATGCATGAAGTAAGCCGTTTTCCTCATACTGAATTTACTGTGTGATGAAGAAATACACTTATCTCGAAGTTATTGATAAGTTTAGAAATACAGAGGCTGAAGGCTACCACTCTACCATTTTGAGCCACCGCACCACTTTTTGGCCTTTTCTGAGTAGCTTATTGGAGACAAAAATCTCATGGATGTTCTTGCTGAGGCTGGCTTCAAACCACAATCCTCAGATCTCAGCCTCCTGAGGAACTAGGATTACAGGTGGAAGCCTGGCTCAGGGTTAATTATTGTTAAAGAAAGTAGAATTTAAACATATATAAAAGACAGAAGGTACTGAAATCAAAAACAGTTTACAATAGGGATAAAATAAAGGGAAAAGAAAGAAAGAAGGAAAGAAAGAAAGAAAGAAGGAAAGAAAGAAAAAAGAAGAAAGAGAGAGAGAAAGGAAGGAAGAGAGAGAAAGAGAGAGGAAGGAAGGAAGGAAGGAAGGAACGAACGAACGAACGAAAAAGAACTTTACACAGTACATTAACAAACAAAAACAAAAACAGAGAAACAAAGAAAAAAACCCTCTTGGTTCCATATCTTGGAGTTCATTTTAATTAGCATCCTTTTACATGGTCATACCTACATCTGATTTGGGGAAGGGGAGGGGAATAACAAAATGGTGAGACAAAAGACAAAGGGTGAATCAATACAACAATGATACAAAGCCGGGCGCTGGTGGCTCACGCCTGTAACCCTAGCTACTCAGGAGGCTGAGAGCTGAGGATCACCGTTCAAAGCCAGCCCAGGACAGAAAGTCCTTGAGACTGTTATCTCCAATAAACCTCTAGAAAACCACAAGTGGCGTTGTGGCTCAAGCAGTAGAGCACTTGCCTTGAGCTGAAGAGCACAGAGACAGCGCCCAAGCCCAGAGTTCAAGCCCCACAACTGACCCCCCCCCCAAAAAAAAAAGATACTCACAAGACACTATGATGGAAATGAGCTTTACAACTTAAGGGAGGGGATAGGGAAAGTGGGAAAAAAATGAGGGAGGGGGTCACAATGTGCAAATGTGCTCATTATCTTACGTATGTAACTGTAACCCCTCTGTATAACATCATTACAAGAAAAGAAAAGAAAATTTAATGGAAAAAGAAAGCCAGATTTAACTTACTTTTGTTCAGGGTCAAAAAACAAAGTTTTGTTTTTAAATATAAAAACAAAATGTAGCCTTTTCTTTCAAATGTTCTTTATTTTGTCAGATTAAAAGCATTGTTCATATCTTTTTCCAATCAGGTGTTAGCTTGCTGTGAAAAACATTTATTTTATCCCTGCAAAATAATACTTGTTCTCAGTGAAATAAAATTATATTGTTGAGTTACTATATGTAGAAAAAAAAGCTAAGATTAGATTCAACTCCAGAAAACTTTTATGCTACACAATATTATTTCTGCATGGTTAATTAGTATCAAGTCTGGAGATGCTTAGGACACAGATGTTGAATCCAAAATAAAAGCAATGAAACTATGAAACTTAGTTAGTATTCCAATTATACTAATAGCAAAGCAGAAGCATGGACTCATTAATTAACTCATCATTGTTACACCTTACAAGAGACAGAGCTAGATTTTCTACTCAAGTAGTCCTACTCTGCAACCTGGAGTCCTGACTCAGAGTAACCATCATAAAATGAAAAATCTAAAGGAAGAATTTTGAAATATTTTTAGAAAATTGTCCATGTATGCTGGGCCCTGGTGGCTCATGCTTAGCTAAGAGGCTGAGACCTGAGGATTGTGAGTTGAAGCAAGCATAGGCAGGATAGTCTATGAGATTCTTATGTCCAATTAACCACCAAAAAATTGGAAGTAAAGCTGTGGCTCAAGTGATAGAATGCTAGCCTAGAATAAAGTAAAGCTCAAGAACAGTACGCAGGCCTTGAGTTCCAGTTCCAAGACTAGCGTGTACATGCTCCAGAGCAAGCGCGTGCATGTGTACACACACACACACACACACACACACACACACACACACACACATTATTTATAATAAATGTTGAAATTGATTTCCAGTTTTCTTCTCAGAGTTACCGTGCACAAAGTAGGTGATGGTACTAGAGTTTGAAATCAGGGTTTTGTGCTGGTTGGGCAGTCTCTCTCCCACTTTATCCACATTGCCATATACTTTGCTGTATTTATCTAACAGGGTCTTATGTTTATGACTGGGAAAACTGGATGATGGTCCTCTCAGTCTTAGCCTCCTGAGGAGCTGGATATACAAGGGCAAGTTAATGTGCCTAGCTGACAGTTGTGATGGGATCTTGTAAAGTTTTTGCCAATGCTGTTGATGAACTCTCAGCCTCCTGCTCTCTACCTCCTGAGTGGCAAAAATTAAAGCTTGAACCACTTGTACTCAGACTAATATGTAAATCTTAGAATTGGTTAATGCATCAATTCAGCTGTCAAACTTATTCTTCATACTCAATTTAGTGTGATGAAGAAATATATATTTTTTTATGGTCAACTTCTTGGTAAATTCAGAAATATTGAACAAACACAACTAACCCATCTTTCTTCTAGAAAGTACCTTGTGGTTAAATAGTTTTCATATATGCCAATTTGTCCACTATAGGAT